CCAAGCACCACACGGTACATGAAGTCGGCGTATCTTGGCAGGATGTGCTCGGGTTGGCGGTACTCGACGGCTGCAGCCACCATGGCCGGCGTGGCAAAGTGGTCGTCGGGGAGTTGCAGATATCTCGTGGGAAGGAGGCACTGGGCCGCGACGTCGTGTCGGCGTCGACAAGCGTGGCGAGTCGTAGCCGTAGCCAGCGGCATCACCGTGCCGGCAAAGCACATGCGCCACGCGGGCGGTCCCGGCCAGGGGGCGTCGGCCTGTGGCGGCGCAGGGGCGAGACAGTCGGTCGCGCGCACCACCGAACGGAGCCAGGCTTCGGTAGGCGGGCGCACTGCAGGCGTCAGCGCGGCGCACTTGTCGCGCACGTCGGCGGCGAAGGTATCAAACGTCCTGAATGCGTCCCAGAGATGCGAGACGTGAGTGAATCCGGCGCGTGCCATGTTGCGTGCGTGAGTCGTCGCATAGCTTGTCGTCAGCGGGCGCAGCGCGTCGCCGCACTCGAGAAATGCGTTGTGCCACAGCTGTTGGTCGTGCGGTGTCGCGGACCGTGGCGTGTTGCGCCGTCACGGTGAACCGTGTGCCGTGACTCCATCCACAGCTTCAGGAGAAAGCGCCATCTAGGTGGAATGCGAGCCGAGCGAAGGACGGCCTGTACCACTGGGTGATTCTGGTCGCCATGCAGCAAGTCTTGGAGGTCGCCCCATGGCGCATACGCGAGCGAGACGAGCGTCCAACCGGGTGAGATCCACGCCGGGCGATCTTCGGGGAGCTGTTGCACTGCTTGCGCGGCGCGAAGCATCCCGGCCCGGTGTCGCGCGGTCCACAAGGGCAGTGCGCGTACGAGACCCAGGCCACCAAGACGACGAGGCGAGAAGGCGAGGTCCGCGCGGAAGTGACGTACTCTGTGCTCACTCCGGCGCGCGATCGGCTCGTTGCGCAGGAATTGAAGCATCATGCGGTCGATGAACGCAGCGGCCGTGGCCGAGGGTTTTTATCCATGCCAGCTGGTACCAGAGAAGCGGCAGGCAGAGGGTGCGGAGAATGACCTCCTTGCCAACGAGCGTGTTTTTTCTTGTACTACCAGAGCCGAAGCCGATCCGCAAACTTGTCGAGGGCGTAGTCGAAGCGAGCGTGTGGGCCAAGATGAGGCGCGACCAAGATCCCGAGATCCTTGGTTGGTTGCGCGGGCTGGACCACAAGCGGCGAGAGCGCGTCCGAAACCGGTGCGTACGTGAGGAGCTCAGTTTTGTGACGGTTCAGGCGGAAGCCGGACACTGCACAAAACCGTTCGACCAGGGCGAGCTGCGTGTGGAGCGCGGGTTCGTCCCGTGCGATCAATTGTGTGTCGTCGGCAAAGCAGCTTGCCACGTGGTTGACCCCACCGATCTGGACCCCGAGGTCCGGCCGGCTACGTAGCAAGTTGCAGAGCGGTTCCATGGCAAGGACGAAAAGCAGCGGCGACAAGGGATCGCCCTGGAGGACACCGCGCTTGATGTCGAATGCGCGCGAGAGACGGCCGTTCACCAGCAGCCGCGACTGGCGCCCCGTGTAGAGGCAGCGCACCGTGTCAACAAACGCGTGCGGGAAGCCGAGGCGAGGCAGAAGGCGGGCGAGGTACGAGTGGCAGACCCGATCAAAAGCCTTCTCAAAGTCCAGAAGAGCCACAATCGACGCGGGCGCGTGGTCCTTGCAGTACGCAAGCAAGTCGTCGAGGCGCGCGATGTTGGACACAATCGAGCGGCCGTGGATGAAGCCGTTTTGGTCGGGGTGGACGAGCCGGTCGGCGCACGGTTGGACCCGGTTGGCCAAGACCTTGGTCAACATCTTGACGTCCGTGTTGATGAGACTGATGGGCCGATAGTTGCCGGCGCGGTCTTGATCGCCCTTCTTGTGGAGCAAGATCGTCGTGCCACGGCACTGGGCCGGCGTCAGCGTCGTGTGATCGTGCAGCCGATGCATGAATACCATCTCGAGCGCGAGCGCCCACTTCTCCGGGGCGAGTTTCAGAACTTCGTGGGGCAGCGCGTTGGGTCCGGGCGCCTTATGGGACGATGACAACACGATGACCGCGTACAGCTCCGACGCCATGATCGGGGCAGCGAGGCCGGCTGCGAGTGTCGCGGGCAGCGGCTGTGGAAGCACTGGGTCCAAGAATGCGTCGATCTCGTCGGCGCGCGCTGGCGGGTC